AAAGGGGGAAAGGAGGCAGAAAAATGTTAAAATGGTGGGGTGGGGGTTTGGTTTGCAATGGGTCGCAAGAAGGGAGGGGGAGAATTCGAGCGTAGTGTGTGTGTGCAGGGGGCGGGCGCGTGGCGCGCAGGAGGCAGGGAGATGGCGAGCGCAGTGTGTGCGTGTGTTGCAAGACGAAAGCGTGTATGCGCTTGTCGTAGCGAAGCGAGTTGCCGACGTAGTGTGGTGTGTGTTTGCAGGGGTGGCGCGTGGCGCGCAGGAGGAGAGGAGGTTGCAAGCGTAGTGTGTGTGTTGCATGGGCGCAGGAGGGAGGGAGAATTCGAGCGTAGTGTGTGGTTGCAGGGGCGGCCGCGTGGCGCGCAGGAAGGGAGAGGCAGGTTTGGCAAGGCGTAGTGTGTGTTGTTGCATGGGGCGCAAGGAGGGAGGGAGAATTCGAGCGTAGTGCGTGTGTTGCAGGGGGCCGGCGCGTGGCGCGCAGGAGGCAGGGGAGATGGCGAGCGTTCGTGTGTGCGTGTGTTGCAGACGAAAGCGTGTATGCGCTGTGCGTAGCGAAGCGAGTTGCCGGACGTAGTGTGTGTGTGTGTGTTGCGGGGGGCGGCGCGTGGCGCGCAGGAGGGAGAGGAGGTTGGCAAGCGTAGTGTGTGGTGTGTTGCATGGGGCGCAGGAGGAGGGGAGAATTCGAGCGTTAGTGCGTGTGGTTGCAGGGGCGGCACGTGGCGCGCAGGAGGGCGGCTGCGGCGCGCGGGGGCGGAGCTGCGACACCGACGGCGCCACCTCCTTGCTTGCACCAAGGGCGGCGCGTGCGGCGCGTCCTTGACTGCGGCGCGGCCCCCGCCGCCTGCGTGAACGGCCGTGCGAGCCGGGCGCCAGCGCGCGACTGGACTCGTGCAAGCACCCCGGCGAGTGGCCTGTTCCAAGACTGCACCTCAAGGACCATATGCACGACGAGCACGTGTGGGTGGACGTGTCCCCAATGCCCCGAAGGATACATATGTGTTGGGGGAGCATGCGTAGATGATGCAACAAACACTTGTACTCCAATTTGTGGAAAGGGGACACAAAATCAATGGTTTCCTGTTATGGATAACTGTTCCAATGCGTATCATTGCCCCACTGAAGGGAAGCCAGCAACAGAGATTCAAGCTTGTATAACTGTTCCTAATATCTATTATTATCCATGTACATGTTCTTGTGTTTCCACGCCTACAATTTGCGACCGCTACCGATATTGTAATGGGAATGAGGGATTGGATGGGGTTATTCCTGGTAATCCCACTTTGCACTACATTTGTGCAAATGGCACCATGTTTTTGATGAAATGCACGAGTCCGACGAGTTATTACGATCCTCTTGTAGGAGATTGCCTTGAAATCGGGTTCCAAATATGCCCTTGTGTTTAAACGGTTGTAATTATTAATTTTCAATTTAGAACAACGTATTTTGAAGATAGAGAAGGGAGATGAGGGGCTGAACGTCTGCCGGGTTCTGCTAGTAACTTTATAAAATATAATTAGGTATTTATTACTATTTCATGTCTATGGTCGTTAGCAACAATTATTATTACGATATGTAACTATGATTACACCCATATATAAACAGAAAACTGTATAAAATTTAATGAAATATTTATTACTATTTCATGTCAATGATCGTTAGCAATAATTAATCCCTAGTTATGGAAAGTTTTCTTATAAACAGGTAAAAAATTAGAATAGGTAACACAAATGGAGTTCATTTACCTGCAATAATTCTGCCACAATAACTGATCAACAGAGTAAACAGATTAATAATGTAAGAATAATAAATTTTAATTAAAAAATACAGTAGTATATTATGAAATAGGTAAAGCAATGAACTAAAGGTACAATTATCTAAATAATAACAATTTGCCAACAACCACAATTCATATTAAATAATCCACTTAAATTATTTTATTAAATATGTATAAACAATTCACGATAGAATAGAAAATAAAACGAAATGGGAAGAAAATCAATGGCTCAACACTTTCAAATTCAGTACTGAAGAAACTACTTAAACTTTCTTAAATAATCGGGTAATTCTAGGAATGCTAGCAACAATTGTCAGCACAAAAATAAATGTAAATACCTTATGTCGCTTTTGAGTTCATATGGCCATGCGACAGTAATATTTTCAAAGGCGTAACTAGCCCTTCCGGGGCCCCCGATCAAAAACCAAATTGTCCCAAAAAAATTCTCCAATAAAAAAGCGTGCTGAAAACTAATTGAAAGAACTTAATTAATCATTATCAATCTTAAAATTCACAATCGTGCCCTGCAGACCTCCGCTTTGATGAACTTATCTAATAATGTCACCCAGGTTCGCTTTTAAAGAGTTCGTCCTTTTACTCTCTATGGACAATATGCTATGGTCCGCCAGACTCTTCTGTCCCATCGAATTTCGCAGATATTTTTTGATAATTTTCTATTTTCAAAAAGATCGCTCTGCAGTCGCAATCGTCACGGGAATTGTTAGAAACACCAAGATTACTGAGCAGACGACTGGAAAGCTAGCTGAAAGTGTGAAATACTCCATCAGAGCCAAATGAGGCTACTCTCTGATTTAATAAATCTTCGAAATTTGGTCTCTCTAAAAAAGTACGCAACCGCATAAAAAGTTGTTCAGTTACGTCATTTCTCGCTGTTTCGCATTGATTCGCAAGTTTTTTGTCTGAAAGTTGCTACAAAGCTTGTGGCTGAATGATCGCAAACGAATCGATTATTTGATTCAAGCCAATAAATCGATGGCTCAGTCTGTCTAATTACAATATCTAAACATGCGAGGTAAACATTAATTTTGAATCGCTTTTCGCCGACAGATAAACGTTGATCTTCGCAGTGTTAAAATGACGTTTCGTTTTAATCGCTTTTCTCACAAAACTCGACATTCACGCTCCAAGGTGTAGCCAACTGTACTGCGTCGGATTTGTCTTTGTCAAAGTCACCCATAAAATCTTTTAGACCCTTGCGAGCTCCTTCAATCAAATACTGTGTTTTGCAAAGATCAAAAACAGATTATTTGCAGATTTTGAGACATAGCATTAGTCGATGCATTTGTGAATACAAAACAACTTTGAATACAATCACGAGCGTCCATTTATTTTTTCAAGTTGCATGCATCTGCTGGCTCAGGTGCATTTTGCTTCTTAAAATTATTTTTGAAAAGCTTGCAAAACATTAGCATATCTGATCCGAATCGCCAAAATGGAATCATTTCTGCTGTACCACCTATTAGGACACAGACGCATTGGTTGTGGGTCTGCCCAACTTTCAATGAAGCAATAAATTGGAGGAGCCGCGGTACATAAAACTACAAATTTGGAAAACATTTTCGCGTCGTAATAAATAATAATTCATTCGCGTCATAATAAAATACGTGATTCAAACTTTACACTAGTCGATTTTTAGTACAATAAATCGCTCTCAGGAAGGGCCTTTAAAATGTGTTAATTTGGCAAAAAAATTCCTTTTGGGGGCCTCTTGGGTTCGGGTGGTCCCTGGTAATTGCACCAGCCGGGCCGGCGGTAGACACGACACTGAACTTTTTTCATTAGTTGCATTTTAGACCTTTCTTCAAGGTAGCGAGAAAAGTGCGCCACTACTGTTTAGGCCTTATTGTAAACTGCATTTATGGCAAATTCATAAATTATCGTCTGTATTAATACTGTGATCACCCGAATCCTGTATGATTAGTAAAAAGAGGCACATGCCTCACCAGAACGCGAGAGAAACGGAACGATTTGAAACGCGCGCTTCATAACAGGACGGAAGTGCTTGAAAGTATCAAAAGAGTTCGCTAGCGTAGGATTTAGATGACGTGACCCCTACATTTTGCGACAGCATTCATGTTGCAATGATGACGGGAAGTGGTAGCATGTGGCGTGGAATGTCGGAATGTTACCGGACAGTGCGATTTAGGCCCACGTCAACTGGAAAGGAAAATACTTTCCGCAGGCATAAGAAGAGGTAACTAAATAGGTTTCTAGATGAATTACATAAATTTGGAAGCAGGTACTTAAAGAAAAGTATTTAAATGTGAACATATACAAAATAGTTGAAAGGTAGGAGCACGAATAAGTAGGTAGAATAAAACTTAGGGTGTCTTCTCTTTCAGTTTCTTTTTATGTGGATTATTATCTTAGTATTCTCTTTGTTTTATCTGAAGAGTTGAACAACCAAAAGCACTATTTATTTGCAAGCATAAGCGGAGCAGTGAACTACCCGATTGCATATTTAAAAAAAAAAAATACGCCAACCATAGACTGAGACAAGCGAGTCGGATGCGAACTGAAGGCCACCGAACGGCAGCAGGGGCGAGCAGTATTCTACGTTGCAGTTTGCACCCCACAGGCTTCTTCACAAAACTGTGATGGCAATTCAAGTAAGAACGTTTTAATGGGAGTGTAATTATTTGAACTCTGTTGATTTCGTAAATGAATTATAGGAATAACAGAACGTGCTAGTATTACTCGCGCAACTTTTTTTGAACGATGGATTGAAGAAATGCGGGTAGAGTGGGGGGTATTAGTTACGAAATCGGCCAATAGATTTTATGAAGCAATGCCAATCTCTGGAGAATCAGTCATGTCTTCGCAACTTTCTAAATAATTTGCTTTCTAACTTTCTCCGGAGTTCGAGATATCACCTGTGATGGATCTTCACCTGCTTCGAACATTTCTTTAGATTTTTGGAGAAAATAACCGATAGAAGTTCTCGTCTTCAAAAGAAAATTGTTTACATTTCGTGCCAGTGAAGATGTGTTTGGAATGTCATCAGTGCTCGCTGCGAGCTTTTGCCTTCATCTGTTTATTGTGCCAGAGAGGGGGAAGCAAGGTCATCGTTCAAGAAAACTTGCGCGAGTAATATATAAAGGCTGTTAAATTAATGAAAAGACTTGAAACAAATAATCTTTCTTTTAAAAAATATAAAATAAATAAAACATGTAGTGTAAACAAAGATAATGTATTTCAATGAAAAACAATACATAAGTCATTCCTTACTCCACCATAAATTTGTTCTTTTTCGTGAAGCTTAAGTAACTGACAGAAAGTACCTTAAAAAATATCTTAACTTACAGAAATTGAATTTTTCCTTTTGTTGAAATGTGTTTGCAAAGTCTGCAATCTGTTTTTGATGCAACTTGGTAAATGAAATGTACATAGTGTGTGTGTTAGAACATGCGTATTTTTTTGAGATTCTGTTTTGGGAGTGTTGTGTAAATCAAAGATAATGATTGTTAATGAAAAACAATACAAAAGTCATTCCTTACACCACCAAAAATTTGTTACTTTTTGTATATTTATTTTGTAAAGAGAGAGTGTGTTTATTATAGATTGTAGTATCTCTGTTCACGGATTAATTTGAGTGACATTCGTGATCTGCAATTGCAGAGAATCCACTTCCCTCAATCCCATATATATAATTTTATATGTCAATTGTTACGAGAAGAAACAGACTGAGCTTTTTGTTAAATTTGTTGCGTCTTCCATTGACGCTACGCGTCTCCAAACCCTACGGGGCTTCTGCGGGGTAATCCTCCATTAACTCACATACGTCAAGTCATATGTGTCACGTCTCGTCGCAGTCAGTTGTCAAGAGGACCGCCAAGTAGCATCTCCGCCTACGCGCCTTCTACTACGGGCCCCTGCGTCACTACTCAGCGGCCAGAATTCGGAAGAAATTAGGATTGGGGTAGAGCTTATGACACTTCACAAGGGTTGGACTAGCCCCTGTGAAGCATGAAAACTCGTTTTGTCGTAACAAATTTCACATGAAGTTTTATGGGAATCTAACCCGAAACCCGAGCCACGAGAGTAAGTTTTTAGTGGGTAAAACCCTCCACCCCAACAGTTGGTCATGATACGTTTCATAATAGACGCTTATCTGATCATTAATTCGTTTAAATTCAAACGTTTAAACGAAAACAGTTTTCTGCCATTGAATTTGTGTATTCACTTTTTCCATAAATGTATCAACAATGCGCTATGCATATTT